CTGCACGAGCTGTTTCGTATTTTTTTTCTTTGCATTTCTTATCTCATAAATAGTCTTAAAATGGTCTTAAAATGAGCCAAAAATGACCTAAACAGGATCATAATAGGCTCATATTTTGATGACCATAGTAAGATGATATTTATCCCATAAAAAAGTGACATAATTATGACTACATTATGATACAATAAATGAGATAAATATGGGAGAGATATGATTTAAAAGTGAGCCATATATGGCACATAAATGAGTCATTCATGGCTCATTTTTTATCTCATTTTTCACGGCCTGGGAACGTTCTAGCTGCTCAGAAGATAGAATACATACGCTAATCTTTTGACATAACTTTTTTTGTTTATTGACGATAGAATAAATTAGTTTTTACTTGTTTCTCAATAAAGTTGTGTTAACGAATTTTTTAAACTAAAGAAAACACTATAGTTCTACTACTATTAGACTCTAAACTAGACGAGGAAAATTTACGTTGTCCATAATGCTCCAAAAAATTAACAGTATAATAAAAAAGAGTTTTATAAACTTATTATATAATACACATAGTGTACCTTTTCTGTACAGAAGTTTTAAATTTTGTATATTTTGCACTATTTTTATACATATTCCTGTCTATCTTAGTTGAAAAGACAAATTTTCAAGGTTGTGGTCATACACTGTTTATTTGTGTTTTGTTGTTCTTCCGCCATGTATTCCGCCTTCGAGCCTAATTAATGCTCTTCATTTGTATGTTTGTTTAAGGTTCGGAATTACTGTATGTATGACATAACACGTTTATAAGTTTCTTTTCCTGATAAACTGCTGATTTTTTTGAAGCATTATGAACGACATTAGTTTCTCGATTCTGTGACTCTAACTGTTCTTTCCACTTGACTAGTGAAATACGAACGCAGATTATCTCTGACTACCATGATCCGAAGAAAGCCAAAAAGCCACGATGATTAAAAAACGTTTATCTAACTGCTGAACATGAAAGAAGAAACTATGATTTTTTAAACTCTAACGAGCGATAGTGAGAGCCGAATATGACGAAAATTAAAAGGGACTTTTTGTGGAAAAGACATAAATATATAGTACAGCTCTTTATACTTCAAATTAGTATAAAAGTGGAAATAAATCCTCTCGGATGTTTTTAATTCTAATTCGTCACGTTCGCAGAACATAGTCTCTAAAAAATCCATAGCTTACAAAACGAATACTAGTTTTGACATTTGCTTCTAATAGAAACTGATATCCGTATCGTGTTTAATCGTGTTTTAGAATACACCTGAACGTTTCTTGACTCCTGAAAAAACGGATTTAGGCTTTGTACCAGAGAAAAATCGTTCAAGCGTATTCTGCGAAACAATTAAGCAGGGCTGTACGATACGAATATCGATTGCTATTAGGAGCAAATGCCAAAATCGATGTTCGTTTTCTAAGCTACGGAATTATTTTAGAGAGTAAAATATATTCACACTGAGCACTGCTTCTTTCGAACTTAGAATAAATGAATATTGGCTACACAATGGGCAAAAAGCGAACACCCTACTTCTTTACAACAAAAAAATATTGTTCATCAAATTAATCTATTACATAATAACACTACTTTCGAGTTGATCAGAGTCCATGCGCTTTGCATAAGAGAAAACTGTTTGTTGACTTACTGTGTCAGTTTGTGTACACAACACGTTTTCTCTTTCTTCACATAAATATTTTCCAATTCTTCATCATACTCTTCACAAGGTCATTTTACAGCTTCATAAGAAATTTATTTTTCAGTTGGAATTTAACGTCGAGAGGAGAAATGATAATCCTTATGGAGGGGCGCTACACAATTAACATTCGTGTGTGTTAATCGACAAATACCTTCGTAATCAATGTAGATAACATCCGTACAAAAGTAGACTAAAAGTGCTGTTCTACTTGATAACAACGTTGAAGAATAATCATCCTTTAAATTATTCTCAGAAAAGTTTTGTATGCTACAGGCTATGAAAACTCCAACCAAAATCGTCAGAAATATTGGATGATGCAAAATTTTGTTGATGAGCCGTTGATGTGTGTGTTTGTGGTAGCCAGACTGTCTATCAACTAGCTCTACAGCATGGCTGAGTGATTTGCAAAATAATTTATCTCTCCCGAAAATATTGCAAAAAACTACAACATATTTTATTCAATAAAACTTACATAATCATGGCCAGTGCTACCGTTAAACAGAAGTTAAAGTCAATCAGTTTGGAAAACTTTATTGGCTCTCTATTGCTGTTTATTTAACCTAAATGGCTTCTAATCAGGACACAAAGGCTTACAGTGCTCGATTAGGAACGTTTTATGGGACATTAATATCGATAGACAATCTACTAAAAACCGTACAGGCACCAGTAACGTCACACTTTAGAAACAAACACACAATTACAGATACAAACAAATACATATACCACTCGCTAAACCGATGGATGTACGGGTGAAAACCATCAAAATTTTTCTGCCATATCACGCCTAAAGAAAACAACTTTCATCCTGAACCAAAGTTCGTATTTTTGCTTTGGGCCTTCTCTTCATATGCGAAAAGAATTTTAACAAACGAATTTGCATCCGCTATTCATTTATCTGTATAATTTCTATCGATAGATCAGTGACACTGACTTGTTATTTCAATTCGGTTTGTATATAGTAGCATTTTTCCTTTCCTTTCCTTTCCTTTCATGACTCAAGTGTTTATCGCATTCCATTTAGCTCTGGGCTTTACCCCAACCTTGACAAAGTGAAGAACAATCTGTAATAACGGGCTCTTTTGTATGCAATACTGTCAGCTGAGAACTTTTATCAAAAGGGAAATATAATCAAGAATAAACAAATATTTATTTGTTTATAATATTAATATTAGTTTAATTATATTTTATTCCCACCCGTAAATAAGGATTTTTCATTCTATTAGAAGAATATAAATTGAATTAACTGTTTGGATACAATTCATTCTAATATAAAGAAATAATAGATCGATTTTCATTGAAAGACAACATATAATTATCAAATAGTTTCAAGTTATATATTTTGCAAATGGCACAAGAGCAATTAGATATCCAAGATGCACAAACACAGTCTAAGTTATCTGACGTTGATCAGGTAGAAAACTCTAAGAAATATACAGATATCTGTTCGACATATTTAACTTTTCTTTGAGTATATCTGTTTATGGAGTTTTTCTGCACTTAGGAGATAATCATCTGTTAGTAATTGTTTATTATTTTTAGCTACATGATAATAAACATCGAAGAACCCAGTCAAATAATGATTTTAATGACGAATCGTTGGGAATAGTGAACGAAAATGGAAATGTTTGGGATCGTAAAGATTCTGTTCGATGTGCACTAGCACAATGGGGATGTTGTGAACCGGTAAATTCCATTGTGTGCCGCTCTTTAAAGAATATTTTAGACTTTTCAAAATTACTGAAACCAAAAATTAACTACTAGAGAACGATGCTGGGTGTTTCCATGGAGTCCGTATCACGATATACACAACTTTGTTCGCATAAGCTGGAACCTTTTTCAAATGAATGACCCACGCGTGGGGTTAGCGTAAATCGAGTTAAAAATGTTTGAAAATATCGGCA